TGGGGCTAAACAGGCAGTGATGTTGAATCGGTAGGCGGGGCTAAAAAGACAGTGATGTGGAATTGTTGGGTGGGGCTAAACAGGCAGTTATGTAAAATCGTGGGCGGGGCTAAACAGGCAGTGATGTAAAATCGGTGGGCGGGGCTAAACAGACAGTGATGTTGATGTGCTGCGGGGGCGGGGTTTATCCACACTATTAAATCATAGAGTAGAACATTCCACAAGCTGTCGTTTTGGCAGACTGCCTTCAATATAAGCTGTTTTTAGACTAATGAGAAAGTTTTAACTTCTGAAACGTACAGGATGTTTTTATAGCACAATTACCTTTTATATATGAAAAGAGAACAAGGGAATTTAGGTTTCTGAGTTCATGACCTTTAAACACACTGTGTTGTTTGTGAGCTAATGGTGTTTGTCTCTGTGGTGAGCAGTTGTTCAGAGAGGGCCGTGTGATGCTGGCTCTGATGCTGCTGGTGAAGCCGAGCTCGTCTGCGGAGCGCAGCGGCAGACACAGACACAGATGGAGCTCCAGACAGCAGGAGGAGCTGCAGCTGCAGGCTCTGTCCACACTGAGCGCTCTCGCTCCGCTGATGCTGGACGAATACATGAGCTGTCAGGCCAACACCTGTCTGCTGCTGCTGCTGGACGGCTGCCTGCAGGACGGTACAACACTCACCGTGCACTTCATTCACCCGCACACTGATTAGGGCCCTAAACGCTCTTAAACCAGAGCAGAAAGTCTTAAATCCATAAAGGCATGGCATTAAATGTTGCATGAACTGCAAAAAATGAATCTCTTCCTCAGTATTTCTGTCTTGTTTTCCAGTACACATATCTAAACATCCTTCAAACAAGACACATTTACTGGAGATGCAAAATGAAGATATAAAGTCTTGTTTTCATGATTAAAACAAGAACAAATGAAGAGCCTCTAAGTGCCTTTTGAAATTTTCTTCTAAACTGAGCATGTGTAGGTTGAGTTATTTCACTTTAATGGCAATTAATAGGTTCTTTTCATTGACATTAAAGTCAAATAACTGAACGTATACATAGGATCCTGAGAAAAATGCTCAGTTTAGAAGAAAATTTCAAACGGCACTTAGAGGCTTTTGCATCTGAACTCTTCAAATATTGATTAAACTGTGATTTGTTGACTCAAGAACAGCTGCAATTGGATCAGTGTGATTCGCAAATGAATCGTTCAGTGCAATTTGTGAACCAATTGATCACAGGAAAGAATCAGTTCGTTCACGAATCGGACATTGTGTGTCAGAGGCAGTGGTGGTTTCTTCAGAATGGAATTAAAAAAGTAGAAGTAAAAAGTTTGATACTATGCTTTGGAACATAGTGAAGTAATACTTTCCCAAAGTAAAAAACTCTCTGATAAAGCAGTGATTCTGAAAGTTGAAGTGCTCTGTCGCTGATCGAGACCTGTCTGTCAGACTCCTTCAGTGGGCGGGGTCATGGTTTCCACGGCAGCGGCGGCGGGAGGAGGGCTCAGCTGCGCTACTGTGTGCGTGTGCTCAGATCCGTGGCGTCTGCGCAGCACGAGCCGTTCCTGCAGGACCTGTGCGATCAGGGTGCCATCGGCCAGCTCTTGGGTGAGTCTCCTTCAGTCTCTGACAGTCTCCTACAGCTCAGACTGACTCACAGCAGACTCTGTGTCCAGGTGTGCTGCGCTGGTTCCTGGGGAGGCCGCAGGACGAGGACGCTGTGGCTCTGGAGATCCAGACGGACTGTCTGTTCCTGCTGTCTGTGCTCTGTGAGGGAGACGTGCACAGGAAGGTGAGACGCGTCTCCTGCTGTCTCGCAGCGCCGCTGTACTCTCTCCTGATGACTGACGAGTGCTGCTTGTGTTCAGGAGCTGTTCGGGACTGACGGGGTGGAGGTGCTGATCCAGTATCTGAGTCTGGACGCCGCGCTGGTCTCCAGCGGTCTGGGTCACAATAAACTGCTGCTGTCCACCGTCGACTGTCTTTGGTGAGACGCGCGCGTCTTTATCTGTTCACACCAAGAACAATAGTTTTAACTATAACCATAACGATATAACGTTCTGTTTATTGTAACCACACTGCAGTTGTGTCACTTTAAATTAGGGCTGAAAATATTGATTCTCATTTTGATAAACCAGTACTGATTCTTAAATCCCAATAATCGATCTGTGCTGTTTTCAGATGATGCCTGAACAAAACTTAACCAAACATTTGTAGCTCCTCCTGTCCAATAATCACAAAAAACTTTGTTACTTTTGATATGAAACAAAGTCTCCGCTTCCAAATTCTGTCAGTTTTATTATGAAATGTAATCAGTAAATGTGTTTTTGTGGCTCTTTAATGTGCGCTGAGCATCTGTTCCTCTTTACTACTAGTTACAGCAGCAAATAACATGAATGAACAGCAGAAACAGAACAGCTCACTGAATCAATAATGTCACGTAACATCACATTTACCTCAGAAAAGACATTTAATGTCCATAAACTCAATAATCAGCTAGAAAAATAACTCTAGAGAAGAGCATTTTGATCTATATATGCACGTTATTACATATTCATTATATTTACTGAATTAAAACATTAAACATTTCATATAAAAAAACTAAAAAACATTTAATATTTAATGTGTTTGAATAAATCTGTCACGAAAACATTACTTATGACATCCACTGTTTAAATGTATATATTTCAGCAACAAACTGGAGTAGAAACATAATTACATTATTAAAACATTATCATAATAAATTTGTATTATATAATGCATTTTATTATGGAAACTGCCTTATGTGCAATTTAAATGTTTATGAATTACTATGAATCACTAATATAGTAATGTAACGACTGACAGAGTTTATTATAATGTTTACAGCATTAGTTCAGAAAAAAACTTCCTTGAAAAAAGTTGACATGCACTGAACCTGATTGCCTAAATATCCAAAATTGAGATTGAAATCAAATCAAGTTTGTGAATCGAAATCGAATTGAATCATGAAATTTGTCTTAATCACCAGTCTACTTTAAATGCTGGAGCTCTTCAAAGTCAGATGGATTCTGATTGGCTGTCAGTGTTTTTATGGTTCAGAATGTTCTGGGGGGTGTTAGTTCCATTGAACTCTATTGGTAACAGAACTTGCGACCATAGTTGCTTTTGGGAAACGCTCCCCTGAAAGTGATTCCAGCGATACTGTTCCACTGTGTCATTATGAACTCCGCTGTTCTTTTCAAATCTAGAATGAGTTTAAAACTATATCTTTATTGTGAATGTGCTTTCACTCATTCTCGAAAGCGACTCCCCTGTGCGAAGGTGTCTGCAAAATGACCAGAGGAAGAGGTTTTCCGCACACATAGAGATATGAGAATCTCCTCAGGTCTGCTGTGATTTCTCTCTCAGGTCGTGTGTGCTGGGGTGTTTCGGTACGGAGGATGTGTTCGTGGCCGGCGGCGGCGTGGATCTGCTGCTGCAGCTGCTGCAGGTGAGAGCTGCGCTCTGCAAACAAACAAACACATACTCATACTTTTTTCAGTTTCACAACATGTTCACATACTGATCATTTACTTTAATTGATGGACAAAGACATTTCTCCACAAAAATCTATGTAATAACGAACTTAGCACATTTCTTTTATTCTTTTTTGGGTTTGTTTAAATAGGCTATGACTCATATTTTTGTCTGGTCTTCATTATTATGACTGACTTCAGTCTAGCGTGAGTTTAAGCACTCTCAAAACAACTCCCGTTATAATCAGTGAAGCTGTGAATCTCTTACTTACATCTGCACGTTGTTGTTTATGATGAGAGAATGCAGTCCGCTAGCGCATGCACTGAACAAAACTCCAGCGTTTCAGTGATGACTCATCTGAACACCTCTGATTGGCCGCTGCATTCATAAACTCAGCAGAATCGTGTGTAATTGGTTGCAATGCAGACATTAGCAGATCTAAATTTAATGTCACAATGCACACTTTTTATTTAATTTTCACTTTATTCGCGACAGCTATATTAGATGTAGTTAAGTTGTACAGGGGAATTTTTGGTGGCATTTTTTCCCAAGACCCCCGTTAATTTCTGACCAGTGTCCAGGGAAGCCTTGCCCAGCCTTACACATGCTCCACCTGCCACCAGTATCATGAAGTGTAAATATGGCCACTTTGCTGACTTCACAGCAGATGCGATGGTGTTGTCGCCGCTAAATCCCACTCCCGCTGAATGTCAGACCATTACTGCCCGCTCCCACAAACATTCTAATATTGTATATAATTTTTGCGCTATCAAGATGCAGGATACTGAAATCGCTTTTGAATGAGCGTTTGCTGTTCACTTTCACTTTGGATTTGGTGATCTCGCGCACTCTGTGTTAAGGAGCACATCTTACGAGATCAGATATATGTGACCCTGCAGCACAAAAGCAGTGTTAAGTCACTGGGGTATATTTGTAGCAATAGCCAACAATACATTGTATGGCTCAAAATTATAGATTTCTCTTTTATGCCAAAAATCATTAGGATATTAAGTAAAGATCATGTTCCATGAAGATATTTTGTAAATTTCCTACCGTAAATATATCAAAACTTAATTTTTGATTAGTAATATGCATTGCTAAGAACTTCATTTGGACAACTTTAAAGATGATTTTCTCAATATTTTGATTTTTTTGCACCCTCAGATTCCAGATTTTCAAATAGTTGTATATCAGCCAAATATTGTCCTATCCTAACAAACCACACATCAATGGGAAGATTATTTATTCAGCTTTCAGATGATGCATAAATCTCAGTTTCAGAAAATTGACCCTTATGACTGGTTTTGTGGTCCAAGATGAGATATTTGTCAGTGAGCTCAGGATCTGTTGAGCAGCAAATCCTCCAGCATGATCTGTCAGTCATCTCTCCTTACTCTCGACCCGGGATCGTCAAATCTCACTCCTGCATGAATTATATTTGACTGAAATGCTTGTATTGAAATACTTTGCATTCTACCTGTGATAAACTGCTCTAGATGTTCAGTTTTGTGAAGCAGGGCCGCTGGGAGGAAGCCTTGTATAGGTTTGAGTGTGTGTGTCATTGTGTGGTGTGTTTGCCTGTGTGGCGCGCAGCGGAGCCCCAGACACATGCTGACGCCGCTCGTGTCCGTGCTGCTGGAGCTGTGTGAGAGTCCCCAGGCCGTCACACACCTGCTGCGCTGGAGAGGAGAGAGAGACGCCAGCGCGCCGCAGCTGCTGCTGCACATCTGGAGGAGAGAGGAGGAGCAGACGGGCGTCTCACGAGACCCACACGGCATGATCACAGGTGCAGACGCCATAAAACAGAGCTATCACAGTCAAGCACCTGTCAAACTAAAACTCTTACTGAAAAACGATTAAATATTTCATTTGTTTCACTGCATGTCATGTGACCATTAAACATATTAACTTCAAATCTCAGGGTTAGGGGACTCAGAGATTAAAGTGCTCTGTGATTAAAGTGAACATGAAATCAACATGGAGCTTCTTAATGGAGCCATCAGTGAACGTGATCGACTCAAAGAGCGTCTCCTCCTGCATCAAGCATAACCTGTTTGTTTCTCTCTACAGTGAAGTGACCAGATGCTCTGTTAAGACTCTCTCTCTCTCTCTCTAATAGACGTGAAGCGGCCGATTGTCTCTCGGCATCAGGATGAATCTTCATCATCATCATCATCACGTGATGTCAGTGCTGCTGTCAGAGACGTGTCAGAAAACCTGCGTGCAAACATCTACTGCATCTTCTGCAAACTGGGTACGAGAGAGAACAGTGTGTGTGTTGAATCAATCAATCAGCTATATTTTATTTATAAAGCCCTTTTCCTAACGAATCAATGCAGTTCAAAATGCTTTACAGTCAAAAACAAGCAATTGACACCAAGTTTAAACAGTAAATGAAGTGAGGTGCAAACGTTGCATACAACAATAACATTAAAACATTTTTGGATGTTATTGAATGCTTCAGTTTTAGTTATATAAATGACAGTGTTTGTTTGTTTGTTTGTTTTATTTGTATGTAGTTAATGCTTCTCTGAGTGCAAGAAAAATCAAGGATATGATCTGATATGCTCATAGATTAGAAAAGATAATGAGCCTGTAGTTTAGTGCAGATTACAGGTTGTTTTCAAAGACATTTTGTAGTTTAAATCAAAGCTTGGAATGAAAGGTGTGTTTTAAAGTAACATCTGCAGTTCTCAACGATGATCTGCAGGATTTGAGCATCTGTCGGGTTTGAGCGCCGAAGATCACGTCACGCTCAGCATCATCCACCGATACCTGGACTTCAAGGTGTGTGTGTGTGTGTGTGTGTGTGTGTGTGTGTGTGTGTGTGACTGTGTGTGGGTGTCGGTGTCTGTGTCGGTGTCGGTGTCTGCGTGTGCGTGTCTGTGTGTATATATTTGTTTAGTGGCATATTTTTTTTTATGACTGAAGACAAGTATCACTGATACCAATACTACTGATGTCTCTAGGAAATTGTCCTTTTTTCCTTATATTTAACCATTGACTATATGTAATGTTGACTATACTAATGTTACAGTATAATTGAGAGCTATTTTAACATTTATTAGATTTAAAAAAATAACAACTTCTAATTTAAGTGAACTTAAAACAATCTTCACATAAACCCATTATAATAAATGTCATATTTAGCTACCTGTGCCCTTCAGCGAGTAGGAGATATACAGAAATTGAATAAAATTATCAAACACTGAATTCTAAATTAAATATAGATGAATCCTTAAAGCTACAAAAGTTATTGATTTCCTCTGTTGTCTTTTATTCTTTGATGAACAGACATCACAGCAGCTGGTTATTAGGTTATTTGGCTGCTATTACTTTAAGAGCTGCCGCTGCTGAACGTGACGCGGATCTAACGCATGCTCGTAGTTTCATTCACGCTTTAATATGAAATTATACAGGTTACAGAGGACAAGCCTGTCAATTTTCCATCTGTTTCACAGCCGCAAATATTTAGATCACCTCTCAAAAGAATAAAACAAAGGTATGTGAACAAAATGCCAGTTATGGCCAATTGCCATCCATATTAAGCATCCGCGGCAATATTTCAATCATTAAACAGTGCGACAAAACATTGTAAAAACACTTAAATTGCTTATATATAAATATATTTAAAACAGTAATATTCTCTATATTAATGATGCATAGTTTACATATGCAAGCAGATGAGGCCGGAATATGAACGCGATCCGCTTAATGGTCCAGTGTTTTCCTTCTAATGGTTTTCTATGGGAAACTTTGCACATTGCGTTTATATTCTGGCTTCATCTGCTTGCCTGTACAAAATATACATCATCAATAAGGTGTTTACTGAATTTCGCCTTTTAATATCTGCGTTTTACTACATTACTACTTAATGCAAACTGCGCAAAAATAGCTTCGTTTTGCCCTCCAGGTGGGCGTTCCTATACGGGTGTGACGTCACGTGAAAACTATCAATAGACCGTTCACAGGGAGCTTGATTGACAGGCGATCTGACCAATCAGAACGTGGATACTATGTGTCGTCCTAAATCGTCCTACATCGCTGTTTTGCCGTTTTTTTGTAAAGGGCATTTGATCTTCTTTGCATGTTCACTTTGTAAACACTGGGTCGGTGCTTCTGCAGCGATGTAGGACGATTTAGAAGTTGAGATGGGAGGTTTTCGACATACCCTAACTGTCATGAACCGGAAAAAAACAGAGTTCACGCAGAGCTAGACAAGACGAGCGTTTGAGGTTAAAAAGTATATAAATTGTACATTTTTTTTAGAAAATAACCGATCGTTTTGCTAGATAAGACCCTTCTTCCTCGGCTGGGATCATTTAGAGCCGTTTGAAGCTGCATTTAAACTGCATTTTGGAAGTTCAAACTCAGGGGCACCATAGAAGTCCATTATATGGAGAGAAATCCTGAAATGTTTTGCTCAAAAAACATAATTTCTTTACGACTGAAGAAAGAAAGACATGAACATCTTGGATGAGTGACTGAGTCCATTATCTGTAAATTTTTGTTCTGGAAGTGAACTACTCCTTTAACGCACTAATTTTGACAGCACTAATAAAAAAATTTTGAGCACTTAACGTAGTGCTTGCTATCAGGATGTGAAGAGGCTTTTATCCAGCAGAACAAAGCGTGTTTCTGAAGCGAATCGGTGTTCCTCACAGCTGTGTGAGGTTGTGCAGGAGCTGTGGAGTGAGGCAGCAGCGGTCGTTCCGTCGGATGAAGCGGTGCTGAAGAGTGTGCTGCAGGTCAGTGAAGCCACGGCCGAGAGCGTGCGCTCGCTGCAGCAAAGCATTCTGGGCCAGCGGCAGCAGCAGGAGCTGCAGGAGGAGCAGCGGCTGTATTCAGAGGTAAAGCGTCCCGGCGGCTGTATGTTCTGTACGAGACCGCAGCGACCGACTGACCGCTGTGATTGTGTTCCAGATCCGCTTCACTCATAAGCAGCGAGAGATCGCAGCAGACGCCTGGAAGAGTTACGTGGCCAGAACCTCAAACTACAGCGTCCTGAAGGTCTGAGCCCGACCGCTTTCATCTGCTCGTCTTCTGAGCGACTCTGCATTGATTCTTTTGTGTTTGGCAGGAGTTCAGGCGTCTTCGGGAGGAGCGGAGCACCAGCGAACACGACGCAGCATCAGACGCCGAGACGAATGAACCAGCGCCACTCACTGTATAGAGAGAATATAGCCAACTGAATGCATTTAATACCACATATATGCACTGCTGTTCAAACGCTTGCCATGGTTAAAGGGACAGTTCACCAGAAAATGACAGAATGTTCATATTTGGGTGAACTATCCCTTTAACCAGCATTAGCATGCTAGCAATCACTGCTGGACCAATGAGCTAACACGGCGGAAATGACGACTGGATCTCAAGCAAAGCCAAATATGAACGCTGAATGTTAGCATTTGAATAATGGCTAATAAAATCAGATGTCCGAGCCAGAACGCACCTGTGTGTTTACTGAAGGTCAGATTCTCTGTTTCTCAAGCTGCTGTGATGTACTTGAGTTTCAGACCCAGAAGACTTTTCTTTCTAAAGGAAGCTTTATCTTTAAATCTTTCCCCGCGGTTCTCGCTGTTATATGCTAGGGGGCGCTATTAAGCATCTCCTGAATGAGTCTAGAATCACTCGATCAGAAACACAGACCATGAAGACGCAGAAACCAGCGCTCTCGGATGTAAGCAGGGCTGGAAATGACGGAGTCCGGGGAGTGAAGTTCGAGGAGGGACGGCGCTTCACTTCCAACTGGTTAGGTTTATTTGGAAATTAAAGTGATTTCTATATTTTATTCATTCAAAAGACTACGAAAGCGATCCCAGTTCTGCACATAAACGTGGCGCTGTGTTTATGGTTCGCTGCGCAATGCGTCTTTTGCCATAAAACCTGCAGACTGCAGTTTTTGTCATTCATTATAACAAACAAAGTGTAGAGACGATGTAATAATAGATTGAGTGTGCAGTGTAGAGAGCTTCGTTCATTAAAGTGGAAGTTTGTGAGATCGCCATGAACTAAGGACGGTAACAGCTTTTCAATGATTATAAAGAGAGTTTGCAAATGTGAAATTGAATGTATATGAGTGCTGTCAAACGATTAATCGCAATTAATTGCATCCAAAATAAAACTTTTTGTTTACATAATATATGTGTGTGCTGTGTATATTTATTATGTATATATCAATACAAACACATGCATGTATATATTTAAGAAAAATGTTATGTTTATATATTAAATATATTTATATATGATATAAATTATATTAATATAAATATATACATGTAAATATTTTCAAAATATATGCTGTATGTGTGTGTATTTATATACATAATAAATATACACAGCACACACACATATATTATGTAAACAAAAACATTTTGACAGCACTAATTTATACTACAGTTTTATACATTTCTGATTTTATACAAAAGTTAATATTAAGTGACTTGCATTTTAGGAACACTGTTGTCTATTTTGCTCTATTTCATCAACAAAGCAAAGTCACAGCTGAGCCGCTGCGCATCTATAGTCTTTGACACAGCACTGTTTCGTTTATGAATGAATCTTTGCTTTTGAACAAATATAGTGAGTCAATGATTCAATGACCCATTCATAAAAATAATCACTTGCTTCGTTCCTAAATGAATCAGCCGTTTGAACGAATCGATTGAATGAATGATTCAGTGACAAAGACAGTGACTTGCTGCCACCTACTGGCGGTTTCTGTTTCATTTTTAAAGTATATTGAGTTATTTAAATCATTTAAATTTCTATATTCAAAACTTTATATTTAAAACATTAATCTCATAACATTGTTATTATGAGATGCATTAATGGCTCTTTTTTTATAATTTTTTCCTAATTTGAGTCTTGTCAAGAAGTCTGTAAATATTCCTTAATGCCACATTCGTGCTCTTCTGTGCCATGCAAAGATTAATTGTTGATGCTGATTTCATTTGACTGGTAACTTATTCTTCCTGGTTGTATCTTATCATTTTATTTTAATTTAATTTATTGTTTCATTCAAATTTTTGATAAAAGTTTATAAATCTACATTTTTGGCACAAAAGATGACATACATTTAATAAAGTTAGAAAAATGGCATTACAAAGGTTAAAAAAAAACCTTTAAGGAGTCAAATATCAATGAGAAGGTTAATTTCTGTCATTGATCAGAAGGTGTCTGTTCCTATTGTGTGTGTGTGTCTGTGTGTGTGTGTGTGTGTGTGTGCGCGTGTGCGTGAGTGTGAGCGCGTGCGTGCGCGTGAGTGTGTGTGCGTGTGCGTGTGTGTGAACATAATTTCTGTCATTGATCAGAAGGTGTCTGTTCCTATTGTGTGTGCGCGTGAGTGTGTGTGTGCGTGTGCGTGCGTGCGTGCGTGTGCGTGTGTGAGAGTGTGTGTGTGTGTATGTGCGTGCGCGTGAGTGTGTGTGCGTGTGCGTGTGTGTGAACATAATTTCTGTCATTGATCAGAAGGTGTCTGTTCCTATTGTGTGTGCGCGTGAGTGTGTGTGTGCGTGTGCGTGCGTGCGTGCGTGTGCGTGTGTGAGAGTGTGTGTGTGTGTATGTGCGTGCGCGTGAGTGTGTGTGCGTGTGCGTGTGTGTGAACATAATTTCTGTCATTGATCAGAAGGTGTCTGTTCCTATTGTGTGTGCGCGTGAGTGTGTGTGTGCGTGTGCGTGCGTGCGTGCGTGTGCGTGTGTGAGAGTGTGTGTGTGTGTATGTGCGTGCGCGTGAGTGTGTGTGCGTGTGCGTGTGTGTGAACATAATTTCTGTCATTGATCAGAAGGTGTCTGTTCCTATTGTGTGTGCGCGTGAGTGTGTGTGTGCGTGTGCGTGCGTGCGTGCGTGTGCGTGTGTGAGAGTGTGTGTGTGTGTATGTGCGTGCGCGTGAGTGTGTGTGCGTGTGCGTGTGTGTGAACATAATTTCTGTCATTGATCAGAAGGTGTCTGTTCCTATTGTGTGTGCGCGTGAGTGTGTGTGTGCGTGTGCGTGCGTGCGTGCGTGTGCGTGTGTGAGAGTGTGTGTGTGTGTATGTGCGTGCGCGTGAGTGTGTGTGCGTGTGCGTGTGTGTGAACATAATTTCTGTCATTGATCAGAAGGTGTCTGTTCCTATTGTGTGTGCGCGTGAGTGTGTGTGTGCGTGTGCGTGCGTGCGTGCGTGTGCGTGTGTGAGAGTGTGTGTGTGTGTATGTGCGTGCGCGTGAGTGTGTGTGCGTGTGCGTGTGTGTGAACATAATTTCTGTCATTGATCAGAAGGTGTCTGTTCCTATTGTGTGTGCGCGTGAGTGTGTGTGTGCGTGTGCGTGCGTGCGTGCGTGTGCGTGTGTGAGAGTGTGTGTGTGTGTATGTGCGTGCGCGTGAGTGTGTGTGCGTGTGCGTGTGTGTGAACATAATTTCTGTCATTGATCAGAAGGTGTCTGTTCCTATTGTGTGTGCGCGTGAGTGTGTGTGTGCGTGTGCGTGCGTGCGTGCGTGTGCGTGTGTGAGAGTGTGTGTGTGTGTATGTGCGTGCGCGTGAGTGTGTGTGCGTGTGCGTGTGTGTGAACATAATTTCTGTCATTGATCAGAAGGTGTCTGTTCCTATTGTGTGTGCGCGTGAGTGTGTGTGTGCGTGTGCGTGCGTGCGTGCGTGTGCGTGTGTGAGAGTGTGTGTGTGTGTATGTGCGTGCGCGTGAGTGTGTGTGCGTGTGCGTGTGTGTGAACATAATTTCTGTCATTGATCAGAAGGTGTCTGTTCCTATTGTGTGTGCGCGTGAGTGTGTGTGTGCGTGTGCGTGCGTGCGTGCGTGTGCGTGTGTGAGAGTGTGTGTGTGTGTATGTGCGTGCGCGTGAGTGTGTGTGCGTGTGCGTGTGTGTGAACATAATTTCTGTCATTGATCAGAAGGTGTCTGTTCCTATTGTGTGTGCGCGTGAGTGTGTGTGTGCGTGTGCGTGCGTGCGTGCGTGTGCGTGTGTGAGAGTGTGTGTGTGTGTATGTGCGTGCGCGTGAGTGTGTGTGCGTGTGCGTGTGTGTGAACATAATTTCTGTCATTGATCAGAAGGTGTCTGTTCCTATTGTGTGTGCGCGTGAGTGTGTGTGTGTGTGTGTGCGTGCGCGTGAGTGTGTGTGCGTGTGCGTGTGTGTGTGTGTGTGTGTGTGTGAGAGAGAGAGAGAGAGTGCAGTGCTGGAGAGCGTCTCTAGGCGGCGCTGCGGATTGAAGCGCAGCTGTTGTGTTCACTCCTCGATGACGCAGAAGTAAAAGCGACACAGAACCGCGTGGAGCGAGAAAGGTTTCAGATCGGAATCATTCTTAAAAGTCATTCATATTTGGCCTTAACAAGCATAAGAGACTTCAATCATAACTATAATGTCTCGGTACATGAGACCGCCGAACAGCTCTCTGTTCGTCCGCAATATTTCCGACGAGTCCCGGTAAGTCAAACTTTATTCTTTCCCGCTTCCAGAACCGTTCACATCTCGCGTATGTTCTCCTGAATGAAGCTGGTGTCTCTGGGCAAACATGTTTAACCTGTCTGTTATTATTCAGCAGTTCTGATGTGCGCACAGCTCTCGCGCGTCGTTTTGTTATTCTCATCATAATCATTATTATATTTTTTACTATTTATGTTTTCTTTACAAATAGCCATTTTCTCGGCTCATGCGCTGTAATGATGTTTAATATCTGTGCTCTTAAATTATTATATGCTCGTTGCATTTCAGAAAGCAAAGTTATATTTATCAGATATTCCGATATGAAAGCTTGTTTTAGTTGGTTTTGGTCAGTCAGTCACCGTTTGAGTAGATGACCGATCAATGAAGCAGCATTATTATGATCAGAAATACTGAAGACTTCTGTTTAACTGAGGCTTTAAAGGAATATTCTGAGACATAATTAAGATGAGAGCAGAAATTAATTTCCAGAAGAGAAGCAGGCAATGAATGGAGCAAAACAATCAGTAAAGGTTAGTTTCATTTCTGTGTAAATGTGTGTACAATTTTAGTTTAGTCACCATGAAAACACAATGCCCTAAATGTTGATTTAAAATAATACAACATTTAGATATTTGTCGGTATGCAATATATTTCAACTCATTTTTGGTATGATATCCTGCATCTCTCTCCAAGCATGACACACATTTAACAGTACAGTAATCAGCACTGTACCTGCTGCAGCTGCTGTGGAGCGAGTTTAACTTGTGCTCAACTCAGAATACTGCTTTATATACGCTCAGTGCTCCGCGTTTCATCTGGGTTTCATCTGGGTTTGCTGTCTCTTTAAAGCGACACTTCACCCAAACATGATCATTTGCTGTGAGTTTACTCTCCCTCAAGCCATGAGATGCAGATGTGGCTGAGTTGAGTTCTTCAGCAGAACAGCAAAGAAGATGCTTGGCACTTTGAGAGCCAGAAGACGCTATCCAGCAATACAGAATGAATGCGCGCGGTTCCTGACGATATACTGATGTCTTATGAAGTGAAACGATTGGTCTGTGCTAGAAACTGAACATTATTTACAGCACTATTACTGTAATCCACTAATGATGTGAAATGTGATGTTTGACATGTCTAAAGCATATAAAGTGAATAAACTAGTCTTCTTCAGCTTAGCTTTTTACATAAACCATGAGAACCCAGGTTAAAAAAAGGACACTTCCATAATGTACTTTAAAGTGCTCTATTTTCGCGCACTAATTGTGTGCTTAATATACTAAAAATGATTCTTTAGTACTTCTTAAGATCATCCGAGTGTGCTATTTTGGGACACCATGAATATGAACTAAAATGTGCTTTTAACCTACTGTCTGTATTAGTCAGCACTTGTAGTGCACTTGAGTGTGTATTAGTGTATGAAAGACGGGTGCAAGTGGTGACTAAATACATTTTTTAAATACGGAGATAGTATGTTAAAAGTGCATTTTAGTTTATAATCATGGTGGACACTTAGATGATCTTAAGTTTATCTTATGTCTGAGGCTCTGGATTACAGTAATACTATTGTGAATAATGTTCAGTTTCTCGCACAGACCGATTGTTTCGCTTCATAAGACCTCGAGATATCGTCAGGAGCCGCGGGGATTCATTCTGCTATGCTTTTCTTGCCTCTCAAATTGACGGTAGCCATTGACTTTCATTGTATGAGTCACGAAGGAGCACGGTTTGAGCTAAACATCTCCTTTACTGAAGAACAAAGCTCCCTGGTCGTGGAAGGCCTGAGGGAGAGTAAATGAGCAGCAGGTCTTCTTTAGGATGCTGGTAAGTATGTCCTGGGATGGTTTGGAAAGCCAGCTCTTTCAGAAAGTAAGATGTTATTTCCGGTGTTCAGGCCAGAGGACCTGCGGCGAGAGTTCGGCCGATACGGACCCGTCGCTGACGTCTACATCCCCCTAGACTTCTACTCTCGCCGGCCCAGAGGATTCGCGTACATTCAATATCCTTTGACTGCGAGTGTTAACCCTGATCTCTCTGTTGTAGCGGCGTCTCCTGCTGGAGCCCGGCACAAAGACACAGTTAAAGAGCCCTGTAGAGTAGCACTAAAAGCCAAGCCGCCGCCAGAAAGACAGAGAAGCAGAGTGTGAAACGAAAGCAGTTTAAAGCTCCAAGAGACAGAGGCATTGTGGGGCCGAGAGCGTAAAGATGAAGGTAAAGGTAACTCCAGTATCCTCTGATTCAGGACGCAAGCGTGTTCGTTTGTAGGGCTGGGTTTGACATTTCACGATTCGATTCTCATTCGCAAGCTTGTGATTCGATTCGATTCAATATCGATTATTTTGGATATAATATGATCGTGGCTTTGCACGGCTCGTCAGTGAACAACGGCTCTGTGTAGTTAATGCTGCTCAATGTGAAAGCCCACAGGTGATGGAGATTTACCGCTGATTACAGAACCGGCTTTACTGACAAGATGCGCATTAAATATCGCATGCAATTTATCGTGCAGCCCTAACACACACACACACACACACATAGACACGTGCGCACGGATGGAATCGCGGAATCCAGTAGGGGTGTGCTATATATATCGTCTGCGATAATATCGTAATTGTTGTTTTAACAATGTGCAATTTGACATTATTGAGTATTTAGCAAAAACCATTCAAAACACCCCAATATCGAGATATAATTTTTTGTCAATATCGCACACCCCTAGAATCCAGTCATAAAAACAATTTTCTGTATAACGCGGAATGTCACGGAATTTGTCAAACCTTAAAGGGCTCATATGATGCTGCTAAAAAGAACATTATTTGGTGTAATGAAATGTTTATGCGGTTTAAAGTAAAAAAAACATTATTTTCCACATACTGTACATTATTGTTTCTCTTCTATGCCCCGCCTTTCTGAAACGCGTCGTTTTTTACAAAGCTCATCGGTCTGAAAAGCGAGGTGTGCTGTGATTGGCCAGCTATCCAGTGCGTTGTGATTGGCCGAATCCCTCAAGCATGTGACGGAAATGTTACGCCCCTCACATACTGTTGATGCCGGCCGGACCGAAGAGACAAAAACATTAAAACCCATTACAAACGAGGCATTCGTTGCGTCCAGTGGGGACATAATTATGATTATAATGACTTATACTGTCTTTTTACGCATTGCGTTGCATTGCATCACGCCGCGTAAACATAAAACTCTATCTGCATTTGTGATCAGAGAAATGACAAAACTCGCGTTTGAATCATCAGTGGCAAATCCTTTAAATGAAAACGTACTTGCGCGAGTCAGAACAGCCGGCATTTTAGTCTTAACGTTACTCTTCCAGGATCAGTAAACAGTCCTCCATAAAATGTGCTGCACACATCTGGATATTTGGGTTATTTTGGGATATTTGAGTCGAGAACGGAGCGCCCGGCGGATCCGACGAATGAGCGGAAAACACATATGACAACCCCGGGCTGAACTCCGCTTCGTCCACGGTGAAAGTTGATGTATTTCCTCAGCGACCAGCACAGATCAGCTCCAGGCATGACGAAGCAGATATCGT